GATCGATTGCCTTGTTCCCTCGGATAGAACAATCCATTATGAGGATATAGAACTATCCAGATGGTTAATGTAAAATAGGGCATATACCACAGTTCTCACTGTTAACTAACCATGGATTGTTATAATTTAAATTGAGATAAAATGCAGAACCAAGAAATACTTAAGTAACGAGGATCATAAGCTAAAAAGGCTGACAGGGTTATTCCTGAATAAATTAGAAACGTTTAAAAAACGACTATTGATCATATCATTAATAAAACCATTCGAAATAGTTGCCATATGTGACCCCACAGACTCTCGTTTTATCTCACTGCCAACTCTTCAATTTCACTAGGCTTCGTTAAATTTGTTGTTGTTTTGTGAACGAGCATATATATCGGTTTACGAACGATTCTGAGTCTAGTCATAACGACAGCAGATGTTTACAGACAATAACATTGTATGCAATCGATATGAAGAAAACCTGGAGAGATTGTAGTATAGACAAGAGATATGTGTACATCACAGACGGATTCGTAATTCTGGTTGCTGTGGCAAACACGTTTCGTCTGTGCTAATCTGTAATAATCAGCTATGTTATTATGGATTGGGAAATGTGAATGATCATTGTGTGGAATATTGACCGGTGCATGTAATCCACTTTCAGGCTCTCATTTGGTAGTAGGTTGTTAGATGGAATAGAAGAGTGAGAAATTCTAATAGATTATGGACGATGGTCTCAACAAGCATTTCTTATGTCACATTAGTTTACTCCATCTCCATATGTGCAGTTTATCTGTAACATTCTATGTCCGAACACCACGTGTTTCCAGAGATGTTCACATTTTGGACTATTGTGGTGTTTGAATTAACTAATGATTCTTTTGTACTTGTTGAATGCTTGATTTCGAATTCTAAATACAATACATTCGTTCGTGCTTGTCTAGTACTTATTGATTCGATTGCGTTATTTCGGGGATTCTTAGTTCATACTACAATTCAAATAATTCGAAATATCAAATTTGGCGTCGCGATGGAGCCTGTGATGGAATCGTTGGATATATATCCAGATTTTGGTGCTTTTGTGGATTATTTTGAAAGGTTCGAAATCTGGGCTATGACCAAGGGGGATGCTGAGGATGTTAATATTTTGGCACATTTCCTCACATTCATCGGAAAAGAAGCATACAGCTTATTAAGAACTGTGGCTATGCCGGAAAGGCCTATCTCGCTTCCTTATACAACTCTCAAGGAACTGCTGCTAGACTGTTAGGCATACAAATTTCGAACGCATTAAAGAAAGATTTTGTAAAGTGATTCATGAGGATATAAAAAATTCCACTACATTACTACGTCATCCCAACCCAGTGCATACTCATGACTATGTAAATAATTCATTGAGGAGTTGCAATGCATTTCACGAAGATGGGCACAAGTTTGGTCAGTGTTTGTCCTGTGGCAAGTTTCACTCCTTTAATTCATGTAAATTTCGTAATTCTAAGTGCTTTAAATGTGGTGATATTAAACATATTCAGTCAGTCTGTAATCCTAATGTTCATCTTACTGCAACTAATATTAAGTCTTGTAATTCTGATTCTACTGAGTCGAGTATTCATAATGATCATTTATCTTTATCAACGATTTTAAAAGGCAGTGTAGAGTCATATAGCAGTTCGGAGTTAAATCAAACTGAGAATCCTTGTGAGACAACGGTTTCTAATCAATCAATTTGTCAGAATTTTCATGTTCTTGTATCAGGTATGGCTTTTCCTAATGATTCACATATTTCTTATGAAACTCCTTGCAAATCTGAAGAAAATATGTTGAGTGAACATAATTATGATCGAAAACCTGATGTAGTTTCGATAGATGCTGATTTTTCTAATGATCCTTTACTCTGAAATGACATTCTTAATAAATTTCATGAAAATATTTCAGAAGAATCAAATCCTGATGTCATATCATATATTACCTTGTGAAAAACGTGTTCAATGAGAAGCACGAGTACTAAATGACCTCGATTTTGATTGCAATTCCGATGATCTCATATCAATTGCTGTTCATCCTTATCACAAATCCACTTCCAACGTATACTCCAATCAATGTGAGAAATATGTTTTAAATGAAGCCACATTATTCATAACTTGGGGATATATAGATCTAACATTATTTCGTGGGGGAGGATAGTGTTGAAAGAGCTAAGGTGCAAATTCTAGATACTAATGATTTCAGTACAAAACCGACATGCTGATTGTATACAATTCCAGGTGAGTCTGTTCCGATTTCGGCTGTTAATTCTAATACTAATGAGTGTATTCTAGATAATACAGAGTTTTTATCCAAAACAATGCCGGACAGACTAAGGATGAACCTAGGAAGAAGATGTACAACCTATTACAGACAGTTATATTCCAATTTAAGCTGTGGCGGCTGTGGTGTTTGCATTAACTAATGATTCTTTCGTACTTGTTGAATGCTTGATTTCGAATTCTAAATACAATACATTCGTTCGTGCTTGTCTAATACTTCTTGATTCGATTGCGTTAATTCTGGGATTCCTAGTTCACACGATAATTCAAATACTTTCGAACATTATAACTATGCATAGTTCCTTCCATTTAAATGAGACTGACCTACATCGTAGTTGAACACATTTCCTATATAGAGTCATCTCATTGAAGACTCGGACACTGGCTTCTTGTTCTGATGCCAGTCATAGTCTATACAGTTATTCACCATGTTGTCAGATCACATCACTTCCGCTTCGGTTGAAATCACCTCCACCGTCACCACCACTACCACCACCATCACTATCATCAACATCAACAACGACAAAAAAATGGAGTGTTGTAGTGTGACATGTTTACCTTGTGTTATGCTGAGTAAGTTATTGGGATGAAAAGTGGCGTTAGACTTGTCCAATTTAATCTAGTTAGTGTTGAGTGTCATGGAATTGACTATTTGTATGACTAGAACATTTGTTGAGACGATCGACAATCGTTTCACACACAATCAGACATCAGTGAAATGAATAAAGAAGTAATTAGTAGGATCCCTGTGAGTTTTCGGCTCGGATTCCATTGGAGATTGATATGTTATGGATATGTGGTGAGTGTAGTGATATATATTGTTGTAAATAATTAATAATAGTTAACGTGAGTGCTGCACTACTATAAATCGTCACATTTTTGGAAATGACAACAATTTCCATGTGTTATATTGCTTAACACTGGACATATGAAATTCGGTCACTGAGCATTATGTTGTCCTGTTGAAATTTTGAGTTTGTTGCATATCTGGAGTGCATTTTTAGTGAGAAATCTACTGAGCGGTTTTCACAATTGTTAGAAATATTATTAAGTCAATGCTTTAACCGTGAATTTAGTAATAATTCTTCAATGATTAATGTCAGATTCAACTATTTCTAAAATTATATGGATATGGGAAATGCGAGATTTTCAAATTCGAATACAGTGAAATGAATAATTAATAGCAATAATGACTATAGAGTAGGACTACAATGAATTCATTGGTAATTATGACTTCCTCTGAACGCAAATCTCATGCTTCATTTCGTTAATAGAACGAGTTATTTCAGTTTTAATGAGTTGAATACGAAGAAATCTTGGGAGGTTTTCATAAACTCTGTAAAAAACCTTCAAATCAGCATAATTAATCAGCGTATTGATTAGAGATGGTCAATATTCCGGTATAGATCGCCCGACTTCCCTCTTTCCCTAATCGTATTAATGTTGAAAACACGAGTTGGCTACTTTCATTTAACTATTTCCACAGTATCAGACGAACTGATATTTTCATGTAGCGCGTCCAAATGGGATGTTTTAGTAGGTGTGACTCACAGTTTTCCTGAATAGAAAACTCTCTTAATTGTTCAATTGAAGTGATTATCAATTTGGAAATTTGATGAACAATAAATTACATTTTCATACAAATATATTTATTTACTAAAGAATTTCTATAATTCTATCTCCGACCTCCTTTCATATTCTTATCTATGGAGCAGTGTGTATAGCTATTTTCAGCCAAGTTGTCCTGATGAATTTATGTATTTCCTCAATATATCACTGCACATATCAAAATGTCTAGAGATATAAAGGGTGAATAAGATTTCTTTTCTCGTATAATATAACCGAACTATAGAGTATGATTAGCTAGCCATTCCATGTTTATTTTTCTTAAATGGATTTTTTGGTGGATCTATTACCCCTTTTCGTCAGAAGCACTTCGGGGAATGAGATAGAATGACCTAGTTTATTTTCTTACATGAGTACTTGTGATGGGTCTCAGCAACTGAAAGGATGCAGGATGTGAATTAAGTCAACATTCTCGTCGTAATGGACACATATGTAGTCCATATATCTATTGTTCAAGTTACTTTTTAATTATCAAACTGCACTGACTGTTGTTTCGAAGCGTACACATCAAACAGTCTACTGATTGTGGACCCAACAGAAATCCCATTGCTATCCCATCTCTTTATGTTTATATTTCTTTATCGGAATTGGATTTTTTTCTAAGATACAAGTGGTTAGTTGGCAAATCGATATCTATGTTGCTTAATCAACTAATAAAAGTTCAAAAAGACCTCATTTATGAAACTTTTATTCAATTCCATACAAAATGTGACTTCATTCATTTTTAAATAAAGGCTAAGCCATAAGTAACTTGTTATTATCGTTCTCAAAATTAATTCTAACCAGATTATAAATTGTGTCTATACTTACAAAAATTGACTTAAATTACTTTTCTGCTTCTCATCCTATTACAGGTTGACATACGCCGTAGCGATATATTTAGACTAATATACGAAATGGTTAGTGCATGTAAGGTAATTAATCTAGTCGCCATGACAACGAATATTTGGCTTATATAATTGTATTTTCCATAAGCCAATGAACTGTTTATGTTAAACAGCCAATAGAAAGTAAGCAATAATCGACCGAGTTTTAAATCAAATTTTGATTGGTTTTAGGTTTCTAATAAATTCGGAAGGATTGCTAGGATAAGCTAAAGTATGACACGTACAAGTTGTCGTTCTCCTGTGTCTCGTTTGCCTAAGCACCGCAAACATACGAATAGCGTCAAATTCGATACACCACCAACTGAAATGAAAAGATGTTTGGTCAAACTGAAAAAAATGGTGCCAACTATTGAACGAAATAAGAAAGTTAATCAGCTGGAATTATTGCAACATGTTATTGATTATATACAAGACTTGGAAAAAACCCTTCAATATCCTGAGGATATATTAACATCCGTCAACGTATCTAAATGTTCGAGTCCTAAGGAAAAGTAAGTCTAGTTCTATTTTTTATTATTTAAGAATAACTATGTTCTCGAAGACTTATTACGCAACAGAATGCTCGACGTAGTCAAAAATTCTTATCGAGGGAATATAATGTACTGTAATAACTAAGACAAGTTTCCGGTAACATTGGAACTTCCAAGTCTTTCAGTAGGCACTAACTACACCGTTGAAACTAAGAAGTTGAAATTTCATTGTAGTTGCTGGATATTCGTGTGTTTAGGCTGCTCAAAGTTTGAAGTTGACCTAGTTCATTTGAATGGCCGGTATGTGTTTATATCCAACGAACTGTAGCAAAAAAGGATGCCTGTTACAACATGTAATAACCCAACAAAATTCTGTTACTGCTACTAGCTCCAGTGTTACGACTGCGAAACATTGCTATACAGTACTTGTGTAGCGGGAAAAGACAGGTTAGATGCAGTGAGGAATGCAGGATTGTAAATAATGTATCTCTGTATCATACTGATTTGCCACGAGTAATCAAAAAACCACCTGCTTCGGTTTGGGTACCCGAGTAGTATCATAACCCACACAAATTAAGTGACTTATGTGGTGCATATGTATTCGGTACCCTTTTTGTAACAATATTTATGTTCAAATAAATCGAAAATAATGAGGTGTATATTTTAAACATTCGTCAATATATGAAGTTGGATGTATTGGATTGGTTGTAGTCAACACTACTTCGTCTAATTTAGCATAGATATATAACCTGCGGATTTTACAATGCAAAATTTGACCTATTGATGGTTATTACACGGAAGTTCGGTGTAATTCAGTCGGTTGTTGAGACCTGAGACACGTTATATACGCTCAACAAATCTCTTACTTGATGCGCAATCCTGATTGGAGTTGGTCGAAGGATTATTAGAAGTTTAAGCCAAGACGTTGCGTGATTGACTGTTGGATTTGGTCTTGTTAGTAGATTCTGACTTTGTAGGTAGATAACTCAGTGACTGCAAGCAACCCATGTTGACACTATTTCGGAAATTGTTATACACAGATTCATTCACTCCTTACATTTATTTGGCACACGCTTCTCAGCAGTTCTCCATATTCTTTATCCTGTCTTATATTCTTATTATTAGGTCTTTCCCTATAATCAACGATTATTCAGACTTGCTAGTCGTTTTGTTTGTTTCTCATATTTGGATATGCTGACGCACATTTATCTTAGATTCCATGTCGACTGGGTGTGACTCATTGACTAACTAGTCGTACTCCATCATGTCATTTTCACGCTGATGACGATTTGAACTTGATTTCTCACCGATCCCAGGTCATTCAAGCACTGAACAGATTTTTTTCTACAGTTTTTATAAGCTGAATGCTTGTTGGCATCCTTTAATTTTCGCTTTATAAAGCGTTTTCCCATTTTGAAGTAGTTTCCGTACTTATTTTAAATATTTGTCCTGATAAATTTTAACATGGCATAAAATAATTACCATTTATCTTCAAAAATAATTAACTCATTTATCTAGTTAAATTCCTTTGGGAATGACCTTGTAGATCCATGTATTCACTTATGTACCAAGGTGTTACTAAATTTAACACTCGTCGTCCATATCTTGTAGTTTCATTCTTATATAAAGTAGGATTGACATGACAAACGTAAGTCATATAGTAGGGGTAGTTCCGAACGTTCTTCGCTAACTAATAGTCTTAGGTACATTTCCCTTATATACTATTTTATACTGAGCTATATCCGATACAGATGTATCAACTTTTCCAATGAAGTACAACATGACTTGTGTACACCATCCCACATATGACGATCTTGACCATAAAGTCTAAAGCTAGACGTAATCATTCCCGTGATTTGGGCTCAACTCATTTACCAATTGTACATTCATGTACTCGCCTTGAAGCGTTTTACGTAAGCGTTGCTCAAGTAGAAGTATTTCAGGTTTAAACTTTAGACTGTTTGGTTAAAAAAAGTCCCCCTCATTCTGACGGTATGAAGTGGAACACAAACAGCATATAGTGTTCTATGCGTCATGCTCTTAGATTGCTGAAGGCTTAGTTCACATTAAGCGTCAACAACCATCAAGTCAACTATAATCGACTGACTTTGTATCGTTTCTCGTATGCGCTATTCCATTCTCTATCATTATTATTTGTGTATTTTTTTTACTCGTTATTGGTCGACGTTAAGATATCCATCTCAAAGTATTATTATATCTATGACACACTGTTTATGATTAACCTAAATATTTTCAACTCTCTGTCTACCACTTGTTTTTCTCTGATTTTACTGCTTATTTTGGTTTTTTCAGTCAATCACTTGTGCACCTTTAAAAATACATATGTTTACAAAGAAAATAAAGAAACGTGGCGAAAAAGCGTCATTTTTCTTTGAAGAGAAAAAGCGGTGATATGTACAGACAAACATTAGCTACTACCAATGAGCATTATTAACATCAGTTGTTATGATTTGATTTTCTCTATACATTAGTGTATATACATTTACATTTATTTATAAGTATCCACTCTCGCATTGCTTAACCATTTATCTTTTTCTCAAATATTTTATGATTGTACAGAATATTTATTCCAACCAATAAATTATACTTTCCTTGCTCGAATATCAGATCACCTGTGTTCTATGTGTTTGGTTTTCTGTACAGTTAACACATTACTATCACTTTATCGAAGCATTAAAATGAGACATGTGTTTCTTATTTTTGAATAGTGTATTTATGTTTACTTCAACGTCTATATTTTTGTATGTGCTTGGTTAGGCATTTTTCAGTGGGTTTTTTTGTCCAGGAAAAATGCGTGAGCAGCTGCTTCTGCAACACCTACCCACCGTTATCACATCACTACATTGTCAGGCTATTACTTAAAATTTGAGCCACATAGTTTATTAACAGATGTGTGTTTGTCATGGATATGCAGCTGCCACTGCTACTACTGCCTTATTGATTAAGTGGACAGGGGGGAGTTTAGCACACGTGCGCTTATCCATCATCTGCTTACAATTATTATTACGATTGGGGGGGAGCGAATAAGAAACAGAGAAAGCCACCTGTACAGTTAAATGCGTATAGAGATTAAAGACTAAATTTATTACGGCTCAGTTGCTGTATATAATACCATCAGTGGTAAAATTAAGAAACTGAGCGAGTAAAATAAGACGTAAAAGACAGTTGGTCTCTAATTCCAACATCTGCCTTATCGATAATTTGAATTCCAGCTTACCGTTTTGATTTCCTAACTTCATTGTATGTTGGCATCAATCGATTTATCACAACAGATGTGAGTAGTAAGATTAATTTCCAAAACATGATGTCCTCAGTTTCAATTGGTAAAATGTAAATGAACTAGGCTTGAACCTCTGTCTTTTTTAGTTTCACGATGGTTTACAAAGTTGTTGGGTTCGTTTAGTTGAATAATATAGACAAGTGATAGATACTAAATATCTTCGGCGATCAACCAAAATATACTGTTTCAGAGTGTTTGACTATTTTCATAGAATGAGACATAATTTTTAACAGTATATAGATTCGTCGAAAGTTTAGTGCGCCACTTACTATGACTTCATTATGCGAAGTCTTAGAGGTTTTTGGCAGTCTCATCTCTATTGCTTTGGTTATCGATGATCGAAAAAATATTTCTAGTTGGAACGTGATTAGTTCGTTTCGCTCTTCCACAGAATGAACAATAACTTAAATACTGTCAATATCTATAGTCTTCTAACGCAGTGGCTGGCATGAGGTGCAGGCAAACTTGATTAACATAACAGTCATTCTTTTTAAGACAATTTATTACAAATTTTGCTCTGATTCCTATTGTGATAAGTTTTCATCATCACTCTGAAGGGTACATGTACACCCGTCAATGATTTGAAGTATCGGCCGCTTACATGGTTATGAATGTGTACTACTATATATATATATATATATATATATATATATATATATATATATATATATATATATATATATATATATAATATATGTAGTTTACAGAAAATACATTTCAAGTTGAGTTTGTTCCGATTTTAATCAATTATTTGCACTATTATTTATTTATTTGAACACATACTGGTACAAGGGGGGACCAGATATATATGCGCCACACAAAACAGTGAGAATGGGAAGAGAAAGAATGTAAGGTGTGTATAAGAAAGGAAAAGAGAGAACAATTAAGACCACAGATTAGTGTATGGTAGTGAAATAACAATAATGGGGGAAACAGGAAGAATTCTTTCAGTTGGAGAAGTTACGGTCACTTTTTATGAAGAAAGTAAAAGAAGGTTACAGCAGGATCACCACTGGGTTTTTTTATAACGTCTGTAGCCACTGTGTTGCATCATCCATTGGACCCCAGCCAGGGTGTCGAGAAGGACCAGCAGAAGCCAGTCCTATGTAGCTTTCTCTTATACCATGACACTATGTCATGCACTGACCACCTCCGCCTTTTCCAACCAGTTCCATACTAGGACGAAACGGCCGTCCAGTTCTTCCAGGTTTTCCATGGTGGTCTAGCTTCAATTGACTGATGATTTCAACCTGTGAAATTTCCTAAAATCTCCACAAAACTCATTCTGATAATCTTATTATTGACAGATAGTTCCCATTTAAACATTAAAATTAAAACACAAATTTCAGCGAAGGGATCTCTTTTCAACGAATTTATTATCAAGCTGTACAATCGTATATATATATGAAAATTTTGTTTTTGTAAAAGTACTAATTCCGTGAGGAAATGTGAACACAGTTAATAAAAAGGTTATAATACTAGATTACGTAATACGAATAATAACAATAGATTTAGTGAATATAATAAGATGATTAAAACGATTGTACAGCTTGACAATAAAATTCGTTGGGAAGAGATCCTTTCTCTGAAATTCGTGTTTTAATCTTATTATTTGCACTCCTACTGCTTGATCTAGTATGCAAATCAAGTGTGATATGATAACAGTGTTCATAGTTTAATCAAACTTGATTTATCCTCACATTTGAAATGATGTACCACTAAGCTGCGATTTAAACTCACGAACAAGAAATTGATCAAATGTGTTTAGTGACGACCAATCTCACCAGTTATTTAGGTTTGGTAAATTGTCTTAACTTTGGAATTTAGCATTAGTAACCATCAAATAATTTACTGATATAGTAAAAAGATCTGAGCTGGTGATGTGTCTTGGGTTCGAAGGATAATTTCGTACAAGATTCGTATCAATGCATTTTAAATGTTAATTAATCATGAAGACAGTTGAGGAGTTTGTTCAAGCCTTATTAATTAATAACGTGTCGTAATCACTAATGGAAAATGATTTCTTTATATAGTAATATTATTAGTTATGCTAAGAAAAATGATCTTAACTGTTGATAACTCCATTCTTTTGAGAAAAATACGATCATCCTTATGACAACTAAAATATCCATTGTTGATCTAATAGAGTTCCTAGTACAATACGCTCTCATAAAAAAACCAGGAAGTGCTGAAATTTATTTATAGCTTGCTGTTAGTGAAGCAAAGTTGAGGAGTCAGACTAAGACGAAACCATTGCACTATGATTTTCAGTTGCTGTTGAATTAAAGTCATTCTAGGGTGTAAACTATTGAATAGTTTGAACACACAAAAGGTTTGTTGCGATGTAATACGATCATATTTGTTATCAACTTTAAAAATTAATGAAATAGGCTCTTGGAAATGAACTTGCTCGATCTTCCATCCCTAATTAGTCCCTAATAATAATCTAATTTTGGGAAGTGT